TAAGGCGCACTGTCGGCTTTTGAGGAAATTGAAGGTTTTTAGGTGCGTCTTATAGTGCGGAAAATACGGTAATTATGGCATGAATTACAATAAAAACAAATTAACAAATAAACAGCTGAAGATCAATATTTTTCCCCCTCACTTTTTCGGAGAACTCAAACATTATGTGCAAAACTAAGAACCTCGTTTTTAATGAAAGATAAAATCACCTTTTTAAAAATGCTTTGGAGTTGAACTCAACACCAAAATACTTATCACATGAAAAAAAATAAAAAGCATCCAATATGTAGTTCCCACAAGTCTGAACCGGAATTGATCCGCGCCACTGAACCGCCATCTTGGTAGGCAAACAAAACATAAATAAACCATGGCTTCAAGACTAACAAAAACAAAGTATATTGACACTCTTGACCAATGTGCAAGACAAATAAATAACAAAATCGATGCTGTTGAGATCAAGAATGAGACCGTGTATGTGGCCTGTTTACTGTTGTCATAGCAACTCCATAGTGGCTGTCAGGATACCTACCAAGATGGCTACCAGAAAGTGTGACATCACTCTAACGTGTCACTTAACCTATCAGAAGTTTCCAAAGCCATGACATCATCATCTGGTTTTCACCTCAACTGTTTAAAGAGACAGTAATCATAACTGTGCATGTAAACATCTGGTTTTGAAGACATTAATGAACAAATCTCAGATATTCCTTCTGTCTCATTATTGTAGCATCTATTTAATTTCAAATAAGTTAGATAATCCTTAAAGAAATCCCTGAAACGGGACATATTAATGTCATACAGTGAGTAAAAACAGGATGTTTGTGTATGTTCTGTAAGTATGAAGCAAATCTTTCTGTGTGAACCAGGTTTGCTCTTACCACTGTAGCGTTAGCTGCGTCTGTTTCTTCTTGTCCTTGATGATCTGACTGATTGTCTTCCTGGATGAACTGATGCTCTGTTTCATGGTCAGGTCAGAGTTCAAGTCCAACAGGTCATGCTCGTCTTCAGACGAAGGCGTCTCATTGCTGTCCTCTGCAGAGAAAAACAACAGAGCGGGAAATTTTAAGCCAAAATTCACCTGAAAAACACGCAGAAACTTCTGGAAATGTTTTCCAGCATGCACCTACAGTTTCAGTTGGAAATTAATGAAATTATTTGATAAATCTGCAATTCTTTCAGTAAAATCATTCCTGTAAATGTAGGGTTGTGCAGTTTGAGAAACTTTTACGGCGCTCAACAACTGTAAACTTTAGCTTGTAATTAAAAACATGGAGGAATAAAGAACAGCAATCTGCTCATTTTCTTAACTCTTTATATTTCTCTTCTCTTAAATTAGTTCATTAACATGCTTCTGATAGTTTACTCTCACCTTTCTCCACTAATGGAGCATTTGATGAGTAGTTTTTAATTTATTTTAGATTTGGTGTTTCTGACTGAGCCTTCAAGGTTTTCCTTATTTCCTTCGCAGCTTTAAATTCTGATTAGTTTCTTTGATCCGACCTTGGAGATATTTCTGACTTTGTTTATCCCACTAGTTTAATTATTGTACTACCAAAAGTATACAATATGATGTGGATAATGTTGAAAAGAATCAATAAAGTAGACCCATATTTTCTGAAGTATGCGGTTATAATTTTTAAGGCCTGTACTGTGACCTCGTAATGACTTGTTATTGTGCTAACGGGAAATGTTTTCATTCCTGTTCCAAAGAAAAAGCCTTTCTACAAACCAGTGTGTTTAATTACTTTCAGAAAAGGTCCTAAAAGAAATTCCTGTCAATTCTAACGTCAAGATAATGTTTTATTAGCTTATTAGGTTCACAATTGTTTTCTTTTAAATCAATTTGTCACCCTTAAATGTTAAGATTGTTGAACTAATTTAGATATAAAAGAGAATGCAAAGATGTCATTGGTTAATTAAGTTTTGACTAATTTAGTTTTTATTTGTTGTTTTATTTTTAATTGATTTCATAATTTTCCACAAATGTCAACATTCCATAGAGGGAAATGTATCCATCCTATTTTTGCGTACTTACAGTAGATGTTTAAAATCAAGCAACAGTTGTCTTTTTGTAACATTAGCAGCTATAGACTAGGTCTATTCAGCTTATCGGAGAGAAAATGGCTCTTTGGATAGGAAATGTTGCACAGGTCCAAAAATTCCCCTTCAGAATATTTTTTTCAGAAGATTGGAAATCATCAGGATGCTTATTTATTAGTGTAAGATGAAATTTTATATTAGTTTCCTGTCAGCAGTGATTTTTACCCTGGCAGTCTGCCACAGACTCCATTAGCTCTTTTATGCTAGCAGCTAGCAGGTGGTTTAGCTAAACTCTACTGTCCTCAGTTTGGGTCCCAGAGTCCGAAAAGTATCTTGATGTGGTTTCCACGCTACAATGAAGGACTCAGTCTCTATTTTGAGTTTTCACAAATGGCCAATAGTGGATGCTAATTTATCATTTAGTGCTTTTGCTAACATTGAAAATGTTTAGCTCAACGTAGCTTCCCATAAATAAAGACATTTCCAGAAAGATCCTAAAGAACTAATTTACTTGGCTGCTTCCAGTTACTCAACTTGAAGTTCAACATCTGCGTTGAAGTTTTGGTTATTCATGCTCTTATTCTGAAGG